AGGAGACATCATTAACTGAAAAGTGAGTGGTGTAAACCAGAACCTTCAGAGAGGGGCTGGTTCCAGCCTAGAGAATGACAAAGGTCCTGTGTTCAGGGGAAGATGGTCTTATACTTCTCTCAGAGCTGTTCACCCCTCTCTAATAGAAACATGCAGTCTTTCTGCCACCCCCCCACCTCGACAGATCATTAATTGCACCATAAGAGACAGATGCTCAGCAAGATGCGCTCTCTCTCTCTCTCTCACACACACACACACACACACACACACACACACGCTACACACAAAAGCACTGCTATGGTCAAATATGGATAAAAATCACATGACATTGGGTGCGTGTTATGTACATGTAACCCAAGTTTCATTATTACAGGTATGTCGATAATATGCACACATTCTTTGAGCTAATATAATCTTCAAGTGTGGGCTGTAGGTACCCATTCACTATATATATTAGCATAGACGGGCAAGTATTATTTCTATTTTACAGATGGAGAAACTGAAATGACTAGCCCAAAGTCACACAATGCCTCAGTGGAAATAGAAACCAGGTTTCCTGATCCATCCAAACCCCCATTGTAAACACTAAACCATGGTGCCTCCATGAATATATCTATATTTGCATAAACACACTATGGCAGTGTGGACTGTCACATGTGGGTAGGAGGGAAAAACCAAGCAGCTGACTCCAATTACCCACTCCACTCAGAGGCTGCTGGGAGTGGGCGGGGCCTGGGGTTTAGATAAACTCATTCCAGGGCTGATAAGAGGAGAGGTAACACCCAAGGAGATTGGAGGCTGAAGGAGTGCTATGTTGGGGAGGGGAGGAAGCTCAGAAAGGGTCCAGAGAAGAAACTATCACCCTTGGGGGAAAAGGTAAGGTACTGAGTTTGGGGAGAGTTGGGCACAGGCTGGGAGCTGCCTCCCTAGGCAACTGTGGATTTGCCTGAGAGGTCAAAGAATTTATAGGGCAATGGGACTGAAGACTTTGACTGTAGATGATGATAAACTAAATGCAGGTACATGCCCTTTATAAGTTCTTCTACATTCCCTCTGGTGTTCTTTCTTCCCCGCCCCCTTCTGTGGTGGTCAGGGTCCTTCTGGCCCACCAGGCAATGGTGACATTTGGAGCTGTGGGATCTGGAGCTTAGCCACAAGGCCAAGTCATGTTAGTGATCATCTGCTGAACCACCCCCACCCCACCCGCCGGGCTGGTAAGAATCCACCAGCTCGCACACACAATCAAGCATTGCTTTTCCCTCAACTGGCTTCCAGCAACTCCCCCAGAAGACTGGCTGTTACTAATGTACTGGTGGTGGAAAATGTCCCCATGGGAAAATCAGATCCAAAAAGCACAGCAGCAGAGTAAGTGCATGAGGCTTGTAAACTAACAGCAGAAACATTTCATTTCCTCTTCTCCAAAAGAAGAGAGAAACCAGGCCTGCATGTAGTTTAAAAAAAAAAACAAAAAACGAACAAACCTCCCCCACCCCCCCCAAAAAAGTGATACAAGTTATCTCTACTGGGCAGTCTAGAAGATATTAAGAAATATGTTCTGGGACTTCCAGTGTGTGTGTTCAGCCTGTCCCCAAGCATTTTATGGAATCATTCTGATGATCATTAAAGTGTGGCTCTTCCCTCCAAACCCACTTTTCCAAATGTAAAACTTCACAGATTATATCCTCAGGTCTGGCCAAGAGGGGTTTGGTACAGGACCCAAGAGGCTGAGGAGCAGAGCAAAGAGAGCTGATTCAATTCCTAGTCCAGCTTAGAGCACCCTCAGGGCTGCTCTAAATTACACCCACCTGCAATGGGCCCTGAGGGGCCACTCCATTAGCTGGGGAATCACTAGAATGCAGCAGTGCTCAGTCTAGGCTCTCTTTATTGACCATGCCCATTATGCTATGGAGAATTCCCTGATGCAAGAAAAATCCTCAACTGCCCACTCAGACCAACTTTCATCATTCTGCTGGAAGGTCAAAGCAGAAGTAGGAGTGTGGAGGACCTGCCCCTGCATTTTGAAAACTCCTTATTAGAGTTGTGCAAAGCAGAGAGACACAAAACCAGCCTTCTATATCCTGCATGCCCCTTTGCTTGGGGTGAGTCACGTTTGTTGTTCTTTTCTGGTAAAGAAACAGGCAAATAAAACCTCAGATTTCTTTCTCTCCCATCCTCGTCCTCATTGTAGTACACACACACAAGAGCAACTTTTGTGGCTCAGCTATTCATTCTCAGGAGGACTTTGAAAGGCTAATCCCAAAGTAAAAGCTTCAAAATGATAGCTTTAGATGCCCCCAAATTCCAGCTCTGGCCTCTACTTCCTGGTCTGAGGCAAGGGGAAATGATGCTCCAATAACCTCAGAGCAGCAGCAAGGGATAGACAGACAGATGAAGGGTCATGCAACAACCTGCCTCTTCTAAGGAGTCGACTTTGGGATTGACTGCTGTTGCTGAAGAGGGAAGAATCTGTGTATTATTAATGTTCCAGGTCCAGATGCATTTTCCCTGAATTAAATTAGGGATGAACATTAATTAGGCTTTCTGCTGGCTGGGAGGATCTGAATCCATCCAGTGTGATTTTTATCCATGTCCCCAGAAACTCCTACAAGATGGATGAACAAGGAGTCAGAGGAGATAATCTTCCTTTTAAAGCTAATCATTGCCATTTGAGGAGCTGCAGCGGGAAGCAAAGCCGGCAGCGGAATAAGGAAGTGAAACTAGCTAAGGGACCTATCTGTACTAGCAAGGGTAGGATCTGCCTTGCGGGGTGGAGCTTGGCACCCACCTGGTTGCTGCGTGGTGACAGGCTGGTTAGTGGCAGTGGTGGCGGTTGTTGTAGTGGTAATGGGTTTTGTAGTGGAAACTCGCTGTGGTCGTTCATACACTAACAAGAAACAAAGAAAAGAGGTGGAAAGAAGGCACCTGAGGAGGCTGGAGGGTCTCTGAGGCTCTTGCTGTTGCTTCTTAGGGTACATAAAATCCCAAGCCCCTGGGCACCTCCATGATCTATTTTCATGGTGAAGGAGGCACACAGGACCTGCTCCCACTAAAATCAATGCCAAAACTCTCATTGAATCTAATGGAAGAGAATTGGCTCTAAGGCCTTGTAAATTCCAGCCATTACTATTCACGTAAAGGAGTCGCAAAAGATGCTCATTTCTCCTTCCTTACTTGAGTCAGCTCAGAGCCCTGAGAGCATGCCTGTAGGAACGGCTCTCACCTGGCCCCATGGGCTCCCATTCTGCAGTCACCAACAAGCACTCTATAGAAATTACATCAGCACGCTGTCCTGGGGACTTTATCCAGTACACTACCAAAGAGGACTAACAGTGACCACTACAAACCAGCCCTCAGCTGGTGGTTACAGAACACAAGGACAGCCTCACTCTTGAGAGTATGTCACCGACCAGGAACTGGGGACACTGATGACCAAAAAGCTTTGCTCTTGGTTTTCTCTTAATCAGAGAGAGAGAGAGAGAGAGAGAGGAAAAACTGAAGAACCCAGCTGCAGGATATGTACAGAAGAAGCTGCTGGGCTTGGGGGGGTAACCAATTCCAGAGAGAATTTAGCACTGGGACAGTGTTATATCTATGATGAGAACCTAGGAAGATTCCGTGTGTGCGTGCACGTTTTGGTTGGGTTACTACATAACTTTGCTTTGTTGGCACGGATGTTGGTTTCCATATTGCCAACTTTATCACTAACTCATTGTTAATTAAACCTCGAAAGGCCAAGAGAGAATGAGTGTGTCTGTATCATGACGGGATAAAGGCAAAGAGAGGCAGGAGTTGCACAGTCAGGCGGGATCAGAAACTGGCTACACAAGCCTTTCCTGTCTGAGAGCTTGACAATAGCTGTGCCATCTCTCTCATACACATCTGAGCTCTCTGATGGCAAAGATACTCCAAGGCAAACCTCCTAATCAGCAAAACCATTCCCTTCAGACCACCAAACGGAGATCATAAAATCAAATGACGTCCCTTTCATTTAAGAAATTCCAAAAAGCAAACATTGGATTATTTAATACAATAGGCCAAATTAATCACTGGTATAACTCCTGAAAAGTCAGGGGAGTTACCCCAGGGATGACAGCGTAATTCAGGAACACTACTTGATACCATGATTTGACTATAATATTCATTCTATTTCAATTCTCATTGCTCTGGCCAGCAGTAATAAAATATGAGGGATTATTATGAATGTAAATTCTTACTTCAACCTATGTCCCCGAGTCCTTGTTTGTCCCACAACCTCATGTACTGTAGATTATCGTGCTTAATTTCATAATAACCCTTAGCTAGTTTAAATACTTAATTCAGGTCACCTCTTGTCTTCTGTGAAGGCTAAATAATCCCTCTTTAGCTGCCCTATGCTCATAATCAAGCCCGTCTATCCCATTCACCATCACATTTCCACTGTGTGCTCTCCAGCTTCACTGTATATTTCTTTCAGAGAGTAACCTGAGCCACAAAATTCAGATCTAGATTCCAGGTGACCCGAAGTTTGCAGGTGCTTGGTCTGCAGAAATCCCCACTGAAATCAATTGCGTGTGCCTCAAATATTACATTTATATATAATTTTATTTTTAAATAGATGGCATGATAGGCCCAAGGCAACCCAAACTGGATGCTGTATCGAAGAATTCAAAAACAGCTCCTTGGAGCCGGAGTCTGTGAAACTGGGGGGAAAAGTTCACTGCAATCATTGGTGTTTTTTGAAGAAGTGTGTTGTTTTTTATTTCCTTTCCTGCTGCCATTCTAACGAACCTCATGGGGAGAAACCATGCCAGAGAAAGAAACAATGAGGTTACTGAAGTCAAAGAAGGAAAATAGAAAGCTCTTTGATGGGACAGACAATGAGAGACAATTAGAGGAGAAGACTTATTGCCTGGCAGATGATAATGAGCAGAAAAGAACCATTTGTCTCCCAAGTGATGTGCACAGGGCCCATGCGCTGAAGATGTCACATGCCAGCAGTTCAGTTACATTTTTTTACTTACTGCCAAAGGCCGAGCCTGCAGCTGCACCTGGAGGAAAGGAAAAGAAACAGGGTCAGCAGAAGCCGAGAGCCATTGTGCTAATTAACAGGAGCCTTGTTGATCGTTGTTCCAGCTTGCTGCATCTTAAAAGCAGCCTTAGGCAAACCATAGAGGTGACCAGACAGCAGTGGCCTTGAAAATGTTTGGGTCCTGAGGCACAGGCTGAAATCTACCTGCAGTGGCTGGGGGGAGGAAAGCCAGCTTGCCTACTGCTAATAGAATTTCTTCTTAACCCTTTTCCTGACCTGCCATTATGCCCAGTAAGGGTCATGTATGCTTTCAAGATTTGTCATGGTCTCTTCTGAGAAACCGTGCGATGTGAATCCAGTCAGTGCTGCTACGGCACTAGCTCCACATCACCACTGCTGGATTCCCAAGGTGCAGGCCCTGACTCATAGGGGATTGTATTGGGGTTGGTATTTTTCAGGTTGGAACAGAACACCCAGCAATGGAGGTTAGGGGAGAGGGGAAACCACATCTGACCTGAGGCTGGGAGTTTTTGGTGGGAAGAAATTGCCTCTAAGTTGTGTATTCAATGGGGTGAGGCTGAGGGTGCCGGCTTCCAACCTTGCTAGTTTATTGGTCACAGGTGGGAGAAAAGTTTGAGGACCGTTTAAGGTCACATTTAATCCAGATATTACAGTGGAGATAAACACCCAGTAGTCAGGTTTCCCCAACCATAAAGAAGATGGCCAGCAATGAAAATACTACAATGGCTGGTGAGAAAGGCCTTTGGAGAATTGCTTCTACTCCAGAAGTTGACCATAAATCTGCCAGAGAGAGAGTTGAAGGGAGAGAGGATGAGGTGGGTGCTTGTGGAGTGGGGGGAGGGAAGGGGAGATATAGAGAAGGAAGAATGAGTGACAGATGTACAAAAGAGAGCGAAATGGAGGGAAGGGAAGTGGGGATAAGGAAAGTCAGGAAAAAGGAAGGGGAGATAGAGAAATGGGGAGAGAGATGGAAGAAAGAGAATAGCATGTCATTGTCCCTGTCAACACCAAAAATCTCTCCCAGGATCCTTTGAAGGAACACAGGCAGTTGGCGGTAGCTGACAAGCTTGTTCCCTTTCAAAGAACCAGCTCATCTACCATCCCTGGCACACACAAAACATTCCTGTCACGGCCTTCGGAGCCTGTATTTCAGCTTTGATCATCTTAAAGCGCATAAATCTTTCAGAAATGGAGGGGGAGAGAAAAAAGGATTCTCTTTGGTAACACTCAAGGCTGCTACTTAAAAGGCTGGAGTGGTTACTGCTGCTCTGTGACATTTAAGCAAGCCTGCTAATGTAAACTGGACATAACCCTGGAGAGATTGGACTATGTCTGGTGTCCTCCTCCACCAACATTCCCGTGATCAGATGATGATGAAGACTTATAGCCTTGATGTTTTGTTTTGTTTTCATGTGAGCATGTACCACAACACGAATTGCATGGGACTGTCACTGTGCTGAGGGACAGGGACACCTTTGTCTTCTTCACTGTGGCCAAATACTCCATGATGTACATATGAACAGCTTTTAGCTGACAATAAATAGGGCACCCAACACTCCTTTCCATCCTCCTGTTTTTCAGTCTTCCGTGCAATTATTGTGCACTGAATTGAAGGTAAATACATTCCCACAGCCACTTGATGATGTTTTCTTTAAGGGACAGAGTAATTCAGAGTAAAATGCCTATTCAAGGCCATGGATCTCTCTGATGGCCTACACCTAACCATCTGTGAGCCTGGATACCCTTCTGTCCATCCACATCCATTCACTCCAGCCACTCCACTACAAATAGTCATCAAGCTCTCCTTCCATCTACCCACGTGGCAATCAATTCCTGTGCACACTGAGAACCGAGTAAATGTTTACTTCCATTGTAAAAGCAAACCCTCCTCTCCTGCAGACCTGGGCATTGACTCCAGATGGAGGCATCCTGAAGCGGTGCTCACTTACACTTGCAGGCATTGTGCAGAGGACCAGTGTGGGCTCAGTTCAGTATAGTAACTTACATGCGTTAGGGGATCCGTTGGGGAGAGGCAGGTAGGAGCCGGCCCGCCAAGATCTGGTGCGAAAGTTCTTCTTGCACTTGCCACAGTCCTGGCCAGTGGTGTTGTGTTCGCACTCACACTGCAGGCTGCCCTCCTTAAAGGAGCACAGGTTGGCATGGAGGTTGCATTTACACCTGTAGGAGGAAAACGAAAGAGACAGAATGGTACACAACGCCACTGTGGAACTCTTTGCCAGAGGATGTTGTGAAGGCCAAGCCTACAACAGGGTTCAAAAAAGAACTGAATAAATTAATGGAGGATAGGTCCATCAATGGCTATTAGCCAGGATGGGCAGGGATGGTCTCCCTAGCCTCTGTTTGCCAGAAGCTGGGAATGGGCGACAGGAGATGCATCACTTGATGATTGCCTGTTCTGTTCATTCCTTCTGGGGCATCTGGCATTGGCCTCTGTCGGAAGACAGGATACTGCGCTAGATGGACCTTTGGTCTGACCCAGTGTGGCCGTTCTTATGTTCTCAGGACAGTAACCCATCCACTCCCAGCTGAGATGGACATGCTGTGTAACTGAACATACAGAAGTAGAGCCAAGCTAGTTACCCCTTCACAGCAGCTCTGACAAGGGTTTCATGGCTCTCACCCATGTTCCTATTGTGTCTGGCATTTGTGTTATGAGGATTCATTCACCTGTTTATGGGGGATCTGAAACACCTCTACCCACATGACTGCAATAGGACAGGACTATGCCTGTTTATAAATGCTAGTAGGAAATGGCACAACCTAGCCTGGTAAGATCAAGGTTCTAGGAGACCGGAGACTCATTGAGCAACTGCATCTCAGGCCGCTTTTATTTTGGTGCCTAAAGATGGATTTAGGGGGCCTGATTTTAGGCAACCAGGTTTGGCTTTACTGTCTAACGCTGTGCCTCTTTTTTCTCATCAGTAAAATCGGGGTAATGTTTTAAGGCTTATTTATAATGTGCTTTGAGATCCTTGAATGAAAGGCATTATATACATGCTAACGTCTAAATTCTGTGCTGACTCACGCCCTGTGCAAAACCACTGAATTCAATGCAACTGCAGAAGGTATAAGTCAGAGCCAAAGTTAGCCCTAACTTATTACTATTTGTGAAGCTGACAAACAATCACCAAGTCTTAAGTGAAGATCAGCAAAATCTTTTCACCTGTGATCCAAGGCAGACTGATGTTAAATAAACCCTCCACATCAATCCAAAACACCACCTAGACCTCCCAGTTTCACATGTTCTTCCCATGCTGAAAACCTATGGGGATAAGATAGGGGAAGGCTGACTCGGAGAATCATTGAGATCACCCAGACCCCCCATTTTCTTCTCCTGAACTATCTTGGGCCCTTAGACACACAGGAGTTTAGAGGAATAGCTCGTGTTTATATTAATGAGTCATGACCCTCAATCCACAAACAGGTTGTTAAAATTAAGAGCCTTTCTCCCAGGGGGTGGAGTAGTGATAGGATATAGAACCTTTCATCCTGAGACCACCCATTGCAATCCAGCCCTGAGCAGTGATGACTGAAAGTTATGACCGACTGATGGCTATTTGGTGCCCTGTGTGAAATGAATATAGTGAGTCTCAGGTCAGTTCTTAGTGGATAAAAAGCCACTTGTCAAAAAAAAAAATCCTCACAACTTGTTCCCTTTCTGGAAGTGTCCAGAGAAAACAAAGAATGAAAACAATACTAAGCACTTTGCAAATATTAATGACTAAACTTTTAATGAACCACTGCAAGATTGGTAGCCTTTAAATACCCCCGTTTTACACATGAGGACTCTGAAGAAGAGGGGTTAGGTGACTCCTACCAAGTCAGAGCTGAGATTAGAACTCAGGGCTCGCAAGCCTATAGTCAGGCTATGCGCCCGATAGACCATGGAGCCTGAGTACCCTGCTTATCTTACAAGTAGTTCCTCTATGTTAGGGTTGAGGTACAATGGGCCTGATTCTTTACGACCTTGCATCTTGTGTAACATTTATATCTGTGCAAAGGGGGTGTAGAAATGTAACCACCCATGTAAGTGAGTGAAGAAGTCTGATTGGGCAGTACTCAGTTTTTATAGGTGTAAATGACCAGAAGGTGCATGGCAGTGGAGAATCAGGCCTATTGATGGGACAGTGCATAGGAGAAGCGTGTCCGGCTGCCTTCTGTGCTGTATCTGTTCTGGGAATAAACAGAGGACATCAGTCTCAAGAGGTGTAAACCTGGTACTGTTCACCTGCACTATACCCAGTCAAGAGAGAAATCACAATCTCTTGTGGAAACTATTCTAGGAGCAGAAGTTTCTTTAGAATCTCCAAAGAGTCCCATCCCCATGTTTCTGATCCACTGAGTCTGCCCTTGCAGTGATCCCATGTGTGCATGGCTGGAAGATTTCACTCCTAAGTTATTTTTGTTTCCTTGTTCTTATTTCCAGCAAACTATTTACTCGCATGCCATGCAGAAACTGGGCAGAGTCCCTCCTCTCCAACATACAATCCTTGCTCATCTCTGACCCAGGCAGAGAAGGAAATATACACTCCATCAGAGAGCAAATTTGCTCTCTCAAGCAGGAGCTGCCAAACACAGCATATTATGTTTGAGTGTTACTGAAGGCTGGCAATGGCAGGTAACAGCTGAAAGCTAAAAACCATAGAACTTAAAAACGCTGGGAGCAGCTTGTAAATCAGAGACTCTGGAAAAGGGGGCATTAGCCAGCACTTAGAAAAAAAGGTTCCCCATGTCTCAGCTGTGATGGGTTCTTCCTTCTGCCTTTGATTGAGAGAAGTTTCTGCACTGATGTCCTAACCCCTTGGAATAGGCAGTGACCAGCACTCTGGAGCATGGAGCCTGACTCTGTGAATTATTTAGAGTCCACGGAGCACTGGCTCCCTCTCTTGCTATAAAATTAACAAAAGAAGAAGGGGGGAAGGAGTAAGCAGATAGCAGGTTAAAACAGGTCAGAGCATCACCATTGCTGAGCTGGCCCAGGCTTGAGTCAGAGAGCAAGGGCTTTGGGGAGGTACAGCACTATTCACTCTTTGTGAAAGGGGACAACAAAGTGCATGAGTCAACTCTGGGACCCACCATTTAAAAGCCAGACTCAGACGCAGGGGTGCTACACACGGGAGGCAGCTCAGAAGCCTTGACCACACAGGCTAACTTCTTCTAGCTCCTCACTCCCCTTCTGACAGACACTCCAGTGGTCAGGGCCATGCGTTCCTAGTCTCGTTTTCTCAGCAGAGGAGAGATGGATTCCTGAGGCAACACTGTCACATGGCACAAGTTGTCCTCTCCCCCCTCCAGAACTATTAGCTCCAGGTCGAGGGATGGAGACCAGATGGAAGTGTAAAGTATGACCAGTAGGCACATGGGCCTGAGGCAGATGAAACCCTAGCGCTGTTGTGTGCCCAATGGTGTTTCAGAATAGTAGAGAAGAGTGGAGCAAAGGGCAACTCCCCCTCCTTAGTTCAAACCTGGAGCTGTAAGCTTAGTCAGAGCAAAGGCCTGGATGACAGGGCTCCTGGTTCTGTTCCTGGCTATGCCATAGACTTATAGGCAAATTACTTTGCCTCCAATTCCTCATCTATAAAATGGGACTAATACTTCCCAATGCAGCACGGATAATGCTTAACTAATTAATATTTGCCAGCTGCTTTGAAAGCCTCAGGAAGGGAAAGGTATTATAGCTCATTGCCCTGCCGTGCACTCAGCTATCACATGACAAGGGGACCAAAGCCACTACTGGGCATAGGCCCCTGGTACCTCTTAAAGTCACTCATAGATACACTATTGTAATGACAAGGCAGCTGAGTCAGATCATGTGTGAAATGTGACAGTCTCTTCATGCTCCAAGGCCTTCCCCGAGTCAGAAGACTGTTCACCACCAGCTGCATTCCCATGGCAGCAACAGAGGCTAAGCAGGGTTATTCAGTCATGGCCTGGGCAGCTCTTACAATAGAAAGGTGTTGCTGAGCTGCTAGTGTCTGAACTTCCATCTGCATGGTGCATTTTACTAAACATTTCTCTTAGCTTCACCCGCGGTCGCATGGCACAATGATGGGGGCAGAGAAGCTCCCCGAATCCTCTGCCCTTTTCTAGGGCTAGTGTATCTCCCCCACTCTTCTGCCTTCAGAACAGTCAAAAAAAACTAGGGGGTTCCCTCAAAGAGCTGAGGTGCTGCACCACAGCATGGAATTTAAACCTGCTCCTAACTACCAGGCCTCAGATACCAAATCTTAGCCAGAGAGTGGGATGCAGCCCTGACTTCTCCTCCTACAGCTACAAGAGCGTGAAATAAGGGTCTCTGCTGGAAGCGGGTATACGTGCCCGCTCATGCATGCTCATGCCTCACGTGCACACACACAGCTCACTGCCCATGATGCACAGCAGCCAAGCCAAGCACCAGCTACCGGATCAGCACTTGGGGCTACTCTCAGTCCTGGGGCAGTGGTCTTGCATTCCTCTGTCACATCTGCAGGGCACGGCTGAGGAAGGATAGGCTTCCTGGGTCAGCCACGGAATGCCTCAATCTGTCTGGCTGTCGGAGCACGTCAAGATGACTGGGCACCGTGCTCCCCAGAGAGGGCTCTCGCTCTCTAATGAGTGTAAACAAGGAAAATTAAATAAAGGGCAAGCAGCAGCAGAGACAGCCTGCCGCCCTCCCCCTTTAGTCCCAGGTCAGCTATTTCTCGCTGCCCGGCCCTATCCATAGCACAAAAGTTACCTCGTCCAAAGGATCAATTTTACCAGGGAATTGCTTTCTGAATTCGACCTTTGAGAATCATCAATCTAACCAGAAAACTATAACTTGAGCAGCCTGACCCCACAACACAGCACTTTTCAGACCAATCAATCAGGATGCATTATTTAATCATGAACAGCGGCGCAGCTTCAAATGGCCCAGGCTGCTGATCCCGTCGCGCTGCTGCTGCCTAGCGCAAAACTCCTGTCCCCCACCTACATCCCCAACTGCCACCCCATCTTTCGTTCTGCTTTAACTCCTTCGTCAGGTTTGGCTGGGTGAAAACAACTCTCCTCCTCCCATCGCCATCAGTGCCTTCAGTTCAAGGACACACGCTTTAGCTCGGCAGCATAGGGGGAAGAACGCCTTTCTCTAGCCAAGATCCAGCCAGCAGAGAATGGAGAAAATAGCATTAGTCCAGTCC